ATGTGCTGCACAATAATGTTTAATATTTAGTATTTACTGTCATATTCCCATATATCATTGTGATGTTGTTTATTCTATTACTCTTGTTCTCTTCTGCTTGTTTTCTTTTTTCTTTCTCAGCAGGCGATCCAGGTGATTGATATATGCATTTTTTTTCTTTTTTTCTTCTTTTTCTGCTCATTCTGTTGGTTTTTGGTTTTTGCCCTTCTCCCCCATCCCTCTTCTCAGCTGTTTCTCTTTCCCTCTTTCTTTCCCCCAGTCAAGTCTTTCCCATGTTCAGTAAGTGAAAATAAAATAAACAATAAAAGGTGAATCAAATGGACTATTACGGCAAAGCTGGAATGGTCAGTTTGGTAAAGTAAATCCGTTGGGCATCTTTCTTTGCCTTTAGACAACAATTCTGATGGCAAAAGAGCCAAACGGGACAGGCAAAAAAAAAAAAAATCATCTACACTCACAGTACACTGTTTATCCTGTCGGTTTTCTAGATGGTTTAAACTTGGGCTAAAGGTGGAATTCAGTCAATGAATCTCAGCATCATCAGCTAAAATTCATATGAATATCTGCTACACCTGACGTAGGCTAACTGTGACCTGAGATACTTGAACTCTTCCACTGGGGCAAGAACTCGTCCCTGACGGGCACTCCATCCTTTTCCCTTTAAACTTCCCGTTTCCATCAAATGCAGTCCTACCTGTAACTACAACCTCTGTTCTTCCTCTCCTGTCCTGTCTGTCTTACATTTTGTCCCCATCTCTAACTAAGTTTAGCTTTCAATCTTGCACACACTGCCTGGTTTAGCCTCTTTAGCCTCATCTCTCTATATGTGATAACCCTTGGTGATTAATGCAGTATTATGATTTCCTTTCATGTGTTACTGTTAAGGCTAAACTACTTTGCTGTTTGAAGGAGCACAATGATATGAAATGATTGCTCCTCTGACTGTCAAATAAAAAGTAGCAAGCGTGTTTTGAAAATGTGATAGAAAGTACTGATATTAATGTAAATAATATTCCTTCTAGTCAAAGCAAGGTTAGGTTTAGTATCAGATTTGGCTGATAAAGTTTTTAAACACACTTTGTAATTACAGAATTGGACTCAGGAGATGACCAGGTCAGCTTCTAGAAGATCTGAGATTCACACAATATTTATTGTTGAGTTTCTAGCAGAATACTTTTATGCTCCATCCAGATCATCAATGTAACAAATCATGAATATGAATAAATGTCTCACGATAACTTCATTTTTCAAGCACAGTCTGAACCACAATCTGGACCAACAGCAGTTCGCAGGCTGTTGAGCAAATCTATAAAACGTATAAAACTGATTGATCGGTGGAGACAAAATTAGCATCTTTCCTGTAGAGCTCATTTATTTTTGAGCTGTGCATGTCTGAACCTGCAGCTTTAATAACTCAGTGGATCATCAGCAGTACAAGAACACCATCCGCTGACATAATAATGTATAACATAACAGAAATGTTGAGATGGTGTTAGAATAATTTATTTTCTCCCCTGTACGAGGACATCTGGCCAGCAACACCAGCCCATAAATCCACAGAACATGCTGAGACAACAGAACAATAGACGCTGGCTGCAGAGGTAAGCTGTGATGCTGACAGGTGTCAGAGTTTCCCTGTGAATAGTTTTAAGGAGCTGTGATATGTAGCAGGAGAAAATCTGACCAGGGCAGCAAACTGACAGAGCTGAGTGTGTCTGCATGATGCAGTTGTTGTTCGGCAGATAACATCTGGTTCCAGCCGTTTTTCATTCAGCAAGTTTCAGGTTTATAGGAGAGCTGATCAATAAATATGATTTCTGTTTAGTCATTTTCTTTTTAGCTTCAGTTGATGCTGGATTGTTGTGTGACAACCAGTCAGTATAAACCCAGCTCGTAAATGAAGACCTCATTGTGTGAAGTGTACTTACCTATGTTTTGCTTTAAATCAAGAAACCATCGGAATTAGAGAGAGCTCAAGAAACTTTTTGTAAATAGTTCAGGAGAATCTGTGCAGTGTGTTTTGCATTTGGAACACTGCACTGGGAGCTGGGATTGGTGGACATCACATTTTTGGAACTGTTGGTTACAATGTTTCTGCATTTGTAAATAAATTCACTGTCCCTGCTAAGGAAGTCTTTTCTGAGCAGTTTCAAAACCTCATGCGAAGAGCTTGGTTTATTAATGAAACTAGTATGTAGTTTGGTGTCAAGAACTTGTCACTATATTAACAATAGTTCACATATTTATTTAACTATATCAATGTATTAATTATGCATTTAATTAATGGGTTAATCAAATATTCATTTATATGCATGAAGATCCTATTCTAAGATGTGTTTTTCTTTCTTTTTCTTTTTTAAATTTTTTTGCAATCATATACTGTCATTTAAAAAAATCTATTCCAAAATTTGTATTATACAGTATTCCCTTTCGATAATGTCCAAATAAGACTATTATTTACTGTATTTAATCTAATTAATAATATCTATGGTCAATGTTTGGTGAGACTGACAGGTGGTGGGACAGACCCTCTGATCACTTCCTGTTCGCCAAAGTGGATTTTTAGTTGCTTGGAAACCAAAGACTCTTTTAAGACAGTTTTAATGGGATTGAGTGATTGAATGATGTCTTTGCACTGCAGTCTATATCCAACAACATCAAGCGGTTACATCAGCTCTCAAAGAGTTCAAGTTACGAATACCTCACCTCTCTGCAACAGATGCCTGCTCGAATTTAAAATTAATGGGACGATCTGCAGACCAGCCACTGTTTAGGGACACACAGCTGGGATCAGGTTCAGGTCCAGCGGGTGTCGTATGGATCCTGTTAGAAGAAAAAAAAAAGCTGATAAAGACTTGGAATACCTTCTGTCGTGGAGGTGTGGTCCGTTCCTATAGTGAGGTCGACATGAGAGGAGTGTGCAGTCAGATGGAAAGCTGGTTGGCATGTGTGCTGAACAAGAGAATTTGATACAAGTGCACAATCAATAAAAACTGTTACACAATTGAAAGAACAGTGTATCCACGGTCCGTTGGACCTTCCTCATCCCAAAGACAAAGTGGTTTGCACACTGAGCTTGAGCAGAAGGAAATGCCAAACTAGTGTTGGCAGTGTAAGAACATAACGCCACCCAGAGGTAAACACAGTCATTAACACTGTGCAGGACTATTGATGGGCTTACTGTGAGCAGCAGGAGTTTAAATGTACATGTTTTACACATGTTTTAGAGAATAAAGGAATTCCTCGCTCAGTGACTTCCCTTGAGATCCAGTTTAGAAACCGGGAAATGAAGACAAGCAGTTGATTTAAATCAGACACCAAACTGACATCAAATAGTTTGCGTTACTAACAGCTCACCTCTCTGCTGCAGACACAGGTTGGACTTTAAATCTAACGGCTTCATTTTTAGATGCATCACTCTTTAAGGACACACAAATGGGTGGAGGTCCAGGCTGGTTCCTGTGAATAATGATGGAGCAGTGATGTGAGTGCTGAGCTGTGACATGGAGAAGAGTCATGGACAGTTAGAGATGGTCATCTCACCTCTGAGCTTTGGTCTGGCTCTCTCTGGCTCTTTTAGAGGGAGGGACTCCCTCCTCTCTGTCCTCACACTGATCCATGCTGCTGAATTCACATCCACATCAGCTCACACACACGTTCTACCTTCACCTGCAGAGGAAACACAAATCATTCATGTGCACATCAACCGTGTGCTGTCCAAATATCAGCTGCTTCTGTCCTGCTTCATCTCAGTGTCAGCTAAGAGAATGACAAACCCACTATGTGTCAACATTTGATGGATGATGACACAGAAATGTGAAATGTTATTGACCTAAATCTGTCTTGATGATAATGAGAAGCTCTGATGAGTTCTGACTGTCTGAGAAGTTACTAGGATGTTGAAACACTGGGACTCAGCCCAGTCCTGACATCTTTGCTATTTTCACTTGATAACAGCAGCTGTTTAAAGTTAATGAGTGTATTTAACAGTAAAGTGAATGTGAACGTGAGACACTGTGTTCTCACAGCTAAAGGCTGCAGTCAGCTGTGTTAGTGTCTTTCACACAATGATCCTTTAATGAACACTCAGAGCTCCATGTCGATGAAGCAGTCATGGGTGAGGTTTTCTGCTGACATGTTGACACTGTGACTTCAGGCTTCCTGTTTCATATTACACTTCCTCCTCACAGTCGGCCTTATTTCACAGCTGCAACTAAATTTCCTGAAGAAAATCCAAAGACAGCTGAACGTTAAGGCATCACTTCCTGTCATGTCATGTCTAAGTTACAGCTAGAATAAATCATAATTTACAAAGTCTGCTGCTTTTTCTGTAACCATCTGACCATTAACTAACTCTGCTGCTCTCATTCACAAAGCGCTCAAATAGATTTTTAACTTGTGTCTTTCAGAGCTCTTAGCATTAGGATGCTGTCTGGCTACCTTAGCGTTCAAGCTCTGGCAGGTGTCTCGTTTGTAAATATTAATCACAGTGATGGTAAAGGCTAACTCACAAAGTACAAATTATACATATGTACACAAACACGAACGTAGCTCAGAATCACACACTCGGCCTCGTTGGTCCAGCTGTGAGTCCGTTACCGTGAACTATGGAGCGGCAGATTTGTGCTGTTTGTGCAGGAACTAAGCTGCACACAGCTGATTGTAGCCAGGAAAACATTACACACTGGAGAGAACGGAAATAAAACCAGTGAAGAAATCAAACATGAGCAGAACAAACAGTAAAGTTCATAAAGATAAACTGTTAAAGAAGGAAATAAAGCAAACTTACAGTTTCTTCAAACACACACCAACAACAAGCTCCACTCCACACCTGGACACTAAACACAGACACACAGGTGAGCTGCTTCCTGGAAGGAGGCGGGACTCTAACTGAGGTATGGCAGGTGGGAGGGGCAAGGAGGCAGATTTTCACAATAAGAGCTCTTTGTTTTTCAATGAACTTAATTTCACACTGATAATTTGTGGTTGTGTAACTTTATGTGGTCAGATTGGACTTAATTCTATCACAATCAGGAATTTAGAAGATTCAGAAAAATGTTGATGGAAGACGTTCTCACTGTGGATTACAGTTAGTGATGTGCGGATCGATCCTGAAATATCGATTCCTCCGATACCAGACATTTATGTTCTAGAATCGATTCTCACATTAAAATATCGATATTTTAATAATTTAGGGTAAATTTGTAGTTTATAGTTAACAGGATTACAGTGGAAAGACACTATATCGTTCGGATTGTCTACATTGGAAGGAACTACTTACTCTTCCGCCTTTCATAGTCATGTGCGAAATACGGCTGTATAAATGTGTCGTAGACCCTTGGCATGCGCACTCACAACACTGGCTGAGCGTAATGGTAGTTATGTGCGGACGTATTTTACATCCACAAACAGCCAAGACGTGGTTTGCGATACATGTGGCAAGAAAGTGAGGTGTTGTGGCAACACCACAAATTTGTCAAACACATCAGAGTAAATCATATCACAGAATATGACAAGTGTATGTTGAGGCGAACTGAAGAGGAGGAGTGGACAGGGACAAGTGCTAGCGCGAGACAGACGTCTCTCACGGAGTCCTTTAGTGCTGCAGTCAGGCAACGTGTTCAAATAGCCACAACTTCAGTTTTTTTTTTATTTCTGTACGATGAATTCTGCATTATTAAGTGATAAGAACAAGTAATCTGATGTCCTGTAATCATTATGACGCTATAATTTGAGATATAATAAAAGATTAAAGTTTTTGTGCAAAGTATCGGTATCGGATCAGTATCGTCGATACCACCCTGAATTTTACTTGGTATTCGATCGGAAAGGAAATTAGTGGTATCGCACATCACTAATTAAAGTCCTGATTTTCAAGTGTCATTAACTACATGGATCCAAATGGAAAAATCCAGGCTCAAATTAACATAAAAGTACAGTTACAGCTTAATGAACTGTAAGTGAGTTCTGTTCTAAACTTCACATTTGACAGTCTGAACATTTAAATAATTTTACTGCTGTAAATGCATAATATATTATAGTATATTACATTATATAAATGTTCCACTGACTGCAGCAATAAATAATAAACCAAAGGCTTCGTAGTCTGTGGGCCCACTGTGGGTCCTGAATGACTTCCATGAAAAAACCTTTTAAGTGACTCCTCTCGTCTCACAAGTCTGAGCTCCTCACTGAAATTCAGCTTCAAACCAACCAAGTCCAAACCTGCTGCACAGACAGACAGGTGAGCTGCTACCTGGAAGGTGTCAGGGCTCCACCTCTGATTGAGAAAGAAGGTGGATTTTCACAATAAGAGCACGTGTTCCAGGAGGACTTTGATGTATTGTGAGCTGTAGAATAAGGAGATGGACTGATGTTATCTGACACAACCTCTGTCTGCAGAAAATGAGTCGATGAATAAACTGCAGGTGATGGTTTCCACACATCAGACTGAATTTGTTTCAGCTCACAGCTCCAACATTACAACTATTTTAAATTCAAACACTTTCATCAGCCTGAATATCAAACATCATAACTTACAAATAGTCAGCTGACTGCTCCTGTAGATGGAGGACAAATGTTTAATACAGCTACAGCTGTGGAGGAGATGTGAACATTAGTGTTTCCTCTGAAGAAGAAACTCTTCAGCTTCTTAAAGTCACCTCCACATTCCCAATTTCCTCTTTTAAAGATGAAGATGGTTTGTGAAGAACTTTGATGTTTCTAAAATTTAGGAAATGTCACAACTCTATGTTATTGTTTGGCTTTTTCAGTGTTTTGTTTGTTTGTGAGTAAATTGGTTTGGCTGAGATTAAAAGGTTATTAGATTAGATTAAATTAAATTTTACTTTATTAATCCATCGGGAGGGTTCCTCCGGGTTTTCACACAGCTGAATAAACGTCAAACAGAAAACTAATTAAACAAAGTGTGAGACGGCCGAGAGTTTGCTCCAGCGCGGGGTTATATTATAGATACCAAGGAGCAGACGGCCGAGTTTCACTCCACCGAGGGAGCTTGTGATGTACTACCCGGCTTTCTTTAGACCGCGAAGGCCTGGTCCTCAGGTGGAAGCAGCCTCTGAATTTGGACACCCCTGCTGTTTCCGGGTGACATTTAATGTATTTTATCCGATAAATAAACACTGTAAATTGTATTTATCACCCCCAACAGCCCTTTTGAATGTCTCCCTAATTCTGAGGTCTCAAGGTTGGCAAGTATGGCACTTCACTTTTTTCCCACATGTATCACAAACTACGTCTCAGCTGTTTGTGGAGGTAAAATACATCTGCACAATTACGCTCAGCCAGTGTTGTGAGTGCGCACGCCAAGGGACACATTTATACAGCCGTGTTTCGCACATGACTATGAAAGGCGGAAGAAGAAGTAGTTCCTTTGAATGTAGACAATCCGAATGTTATAGTTTCTTTCCACTGTGTTCCTGTTAATGATAAACTACAAATTTACCCTAAATTACTAAACTATCAATATTTTAATGTGAGAATCGATTCTAGAACATAAATGACTGGTATCAGAGGAATCGATATTTCAGGATCGATCCCCACATCACTACTCGCAGTAGCACAGGAACAGAGCAGGAGGGAAAGAGAGAGAAAGAGAGCCAGGGACAACAACATCACATTAGAAAGGTATAGTAATTAGGCACTGTTTTGGATGTTCAGTTAACACTAGAAATGTGCTTTGGAGTTTGTACGTGCTTCGTCACTAGGGGCCACCGCATATATTTATATATAAACATATATGAATAAAACCACTTTTTTTTACATTAGTAATTCCTTTTGTGCATAATTTTATATTATTGTTAATAATAAATTAATTAAGCAACAAAACAACCTGAAGAGCCGGTTCGGAGCTGAAAGAGCCGGCTCTTTTTAGTGAGCCGAGCCGAAAGAGCAGGTTCTCTAAAAAGAGCCGGAAATCCCATCACTACAGAGGACCCCTTTCCACTTCCCACATTTCTAAATGTGACAAGCGCTCATAAGTTTTCCGAGTTTAGTTTGTCGATGCTGCTGCCGTCACAGCCGTGATGTGACAGCTCCATTTCTTTTGATTTTGATGAGGATTATTTTCTACCATGGCGCACGTTTTTCCATTCAATTGGAGGCTTGAGGTGACAACAAGCAGACCAGAAACGAGCCAGCTCCATATACAACTCACGTTGCCTGTCTGACAGCAGTGTAGTAGTTGAGGAAGGCTGAGGTTCATGGACTGGTTCTTATATAGCGCTTTTCTACTCTTCTGAGCACTCAAAGCGCTTTACACAACTTGTGCATTCACCCATTCACACCCATTCGCACAAGCACATTCATGCTCAGCCGGCGCTCCTCTATGAGAGTCCCCAGTTCAGAGGAAGCTCAGAGGTGTTTCTCCACTTTAAAGAGAAGCAGATGTTCCTGTGAGATGCAGGACAGGAATCTCTGAACGTCATGCTTCCATTAAGAGGAGCCCCTGCTTCATACCTCCTTACACCTTTACTTTCTCCTCTTTCCTTTACTCCTTCATCGTCTTCTCAGTCCTC